CAAATCCCAACAGAGGGTATAGCATCTGATACCTGACCAGTACACCTTAAAACTGTCAAGGTCATCAAAACAGTGGAAGTCTGAGAAACCATTACAGCTAAGAGAAGCCCAAGGAGACACGGCAATTAATTGTACTGTGGTTTCTTGGATGGGATCCTGAAGCAGAAAAAGGACATTGGGTAAAAACTAAGGAAATCTGAATAAACTATGGATGTTAATAATGATGTATCAATATTAGTTTATTAACTATGACAAATGTACCATACTCGTGTAAGACGTTAATAATGGGGAAACTGTGTGCAGGGCAGTATCTGGGAACTCTCTGTAGTATCGGCTCAATTTTTCAAAAACGTAAAACTGCTCTAAACATAAAGTCTGTTAACTGCTTTTTAAATGAATTGTATTTTTGTATCAAGCAACAAACAGAAGATGAAACATTTCAGAGGCACCATTTAAAAAAAATACAGCATCAAAAGATACTAAGTACCTGAGAGTGTATCTAACAAAAGACCTGCACAACATCTACAGAGAAAATTATAAAACACTGAGAGATGTTCAAGAGTAAATAAAGACATACCACAAATTGGAGGACTCCATAACATAAATGTGCCAATTCTTCTCATCATCTACTCAACACATTCCCAATCAAAATCCCAACAGATTCTTGTGAAATGTGAAAAACTGATGCTAACATTTTGGTAAAAAAATTGATTTTCTCTAAATTTATTATCAGTTCAATGAACTCTCAATCAAAAACCCAACGGGTAATTTGTGGAATGTGATAAGCTGATTCTAAAATTTATATGCAAATGCTAAAGGTCAACACTAAGCAAGAAGCCAGATGAGGAAGGTAGGAGGGCTTGCTTTCCCAGGTATATACAGTAAAACCTAAGAAAGTCAGAACCTGTGTAAGGCAGAAACCTCGGAGAAGGAAAACGCAAATATTTTCCACTAACAGAGACAGAAAAGTGCTAAGACTGCCCGCTGTCAAAGGTGGAAAACTTGAGACCCAGAAAATCAAGGCAGTCCCATCAAGTTCCGGCTCTCACAGGCAGTGGAAAAGGAAAGGTCTGTTCAATAAATGCATCATTGCATACCTATGCAGAAAAATAATAAAATTGGAGCCTTACCTCACATCATTCACAAAAATAAAATGTGAGGAGGATTGAAAACCTAAACGTAAAGGCAAAACTAAATAGCTTCTAGTAGAGGATATTAAAAAAAGTCTTGATGTCCTTGGGGTAGGAAAAGATTTCTTAAACAAGATACAAAAAGTACTAGCTACAAAAGATTGATACGTTTGACTGCATTAAAATTAAGAACTGCTCATCAAAACCACTATTAAAAAGGTTTAACAAATTACAGAGTAAAACAAAGGGTATTTATCAATAACATATTAACAACTACTACAAATCAGTAAGGAAAAGACACACAACCCAAAATAAAAATGGACAAAAGACACATGCTGGCATTTCACAAAAGAGGAACTCCAAATGGCTTAAACTCGTTCGTATTCAGGAAAATGCAGATTAAAAACACAGCGAGTTACTACCCAACAGACTAGTAAAATTCAAAATACTTGAATATATCAAATTGGGTAAGGATGTAAAATAATAGGAATTCTTGTACACTGCTGTATGCGTGTAAAATTGGAACTACTCTGGAAAGAGTTTTACTTTAGCTAGTAAAAGTGAAGATAAGCATATCTTGTTATCATGTTATCAGGAGGGACTAGTCCCCAGAGAAGGACATCATGCTTGGTAAGGTAAAGGGTCAGTGAAAAAGAGGAAGGCCCTCGACGAGATGGACTGATACAGTGGCTGCAACAACAGGCTGAAATATAGCAATGACTGTGGGGATGGCGCAGGACCAGGCAGTGTTTAGGTCTGCTGTACGTAGGGTCGCTATGAGTTGGAACTGACTCGATGGCACCTAACAACAACGTAACACTGGGGAGGAATGCATGAATATATGTACCGGGACACATGGACAGAAATGTTCCCAGCAGCATTGCTATTAATGCAAAAGTAGAAACAACCCAAACATCCATCAACAGTAAAGTAAAAAAATAAATTACTGTAGAGTTATACAATGGAATACTAGACAGCAATGAAAATAAGCTATAGCTATGGCATATTACTAACAATGTTAACAAGACACAAAAGAATATAAACAGTATGATTCCGCTTATGTGAAGATCAAAATCAGACGAAACTAAACAATACTGATTAGAAATGTGCATGATAAAACTATAAAGAAGAGCAAGGAAGTTATTACTATGAAAGACAGAAAGGGGCTCACGTTGAGAAAACAGTAGGGGATTGTGATGGGCTTCTAGTATGCTGGCAAGGTTGTATGTCCTTCCTGGCTGGTAATTACTGGCTGTTCACTTCATAACATTTTAATTGTACAACGTTTTACGCAATTTTCAGTATGTGTGCTACGTTTCACATTTTTAAAAGCTTTTTTAAACAAAGAAATTAGAGTAAAATATACGTGAATATGTACATAATCTTGTGTTGGGGAAGGCATAAGCATACCATTAAATGTAGAAACTACAAAATAATTTTTTTAAAAAACCTATGTTGTTTAATGATGCACACATAGTTGGTGAAACAGAAGAGAAACAAAGATACGAATACTGTAAAAATCAAGTGGGAACCTCTAGGGGAGGAAGGGAGGGAAGGAGTTGTGATCAGAAGGGCATACGCAGAGGGGTTTTAGGGTGCTGAAAATACCCTTTTTCAACCTTCATAATTTTTTAACTATATGTTTTACACATTTTCAATATGTATGTCAAATTTCACAATGAAAAGGCATGTTTATTTTATAAATGTGTGTGTATCTATACATGTATATATATATTATATATACATATTGAAAGATTCTTACCTTGATCCTTGAAATCAACTCTTGAATTCCAAAAGTTCGGGCTTTTTCTACAAAAGTTATCAGTTCCATCATCTCTTCTGTTGTCTCAGGGACTTTTAATGCATGTTCTCTAATTGCTTCAAATTCACTGCAAATACTGAAATAATACTCTGCTTTACTATAACTATGGTAATAATGTTATATCATACTTAACAAATGTGTATCATTATGTTTATTATAAAATAAGAATTATGATATGCTAAAAATAATTGGTTAATCCATTAAAATATTTTAAATTTGTTAAGCTTAACTTACCTGATGTAACAGTAAATATCACACATCTGTAAAATCTGTAAAATTAATGTAATATTTTATTGTGGAATTATAGCTTATTTAAAATTTGTTTCCTAGTGAACCCTTTGATCCTCCTGAATAGCCAGATAAGCAGTGGAATATAGAGCATACTCTGGATCAGGCAGCACTAAATCTAAATCCTGCCCCAGCTGCTGCTAATCGCTTAGACAAGTCTCTGAAGTTCAGTTTCCTCATCTGTAAAATGAAGCTATTAACATTCATATTGCTGGATTGTTGTCATGTAATAATGAATGCAAAGGGCCTAGCACAAAGTACATTCTCATTTACTGGAAACTATAATCATTAATATAACCATTAGTTCAATGATTATTATTAGTGCCTCTTGTAAAAAATGACAGTACAGTAAGTGAAAAGATCAAACCCTTATATATATACATGTTTGTAAATCTATCATTCTCTTAGAATATTCTATGCATGTAAGTATAAACCTAGACTCATACCCTGCCGCCATTATTCAACTAAAGGTACATTTCATAGAATTTTTTCCTGTGCCTTGCAATATCTGTAATGCCATGCTAATACCAAAAATATCGGAAAATCTTACACGAAATCAAAGTATAAAAGAGGTAAGTCATTTAAAAAATAAATTTTAGACCATGCAGGTATTTCATTTATATCATGTCAGTAATTATACGTAGTCATTCATTCATTTCATAAATAACTGAGTACCTACAATGTGCTAGGTAAAGTTCTAAGCACTGGAGACACAGCAGCAAGCAAGACCAAGTTCCCGCCCTCATAAAGTTCACATTCAAGTTGGGGAGAGAGACGAAAGCACACAAATAGACAACACTATATTAGGTAGAAAATGTGCTATGAATAAAAATGAAGCAAGGTAAAGGAATAAAGAATGATGGAGTGCAGAGAAAGGGTCGCTATCTTATATAAAGTGACCAGGGAAGGTCTCTCTAGGGAGGTGATATTTAAAGTGAGAAAAGAAAAAAATGAGTCATGCAAATATCAGGAAAAGAGCACCCCAGGAAGAAAAACACAGCAAGGGTAAACGCCCTGATGTAGCAATAAGCGCAGCATATTCTAGGAATGGCAGGAAGGCCGGATGAAGTCAAGGGAGAGGGCACAGAAGACGCTGGCGGGGCAAGCAGAAGTCAGATCCCGTAGGGCTTTGTGGTCAATTCTTCATTATCAAAATATAGGAGGGATGCATCATGTAGACAATGCAAAAAGACAGGTGATCCTCTTAGGGGCTCTTTCTCCTTGCTAGAGTAGATTCTGAGTCCCCTGGGGAGAAATACAACATAGCAAAAGAAAAAAAGGAAACAAAATGACTGAGAACAAGGTGGCCCAGGCAGATGCTAAACCAAACTGTAAAGTAAGCAAATTGCTCTTTAATGACTTTGTACTTAAGTTACCAAAAACCCACTGTCATCAAGTTGATTCCAACTCACAGAAGCTCTGTGGGACAGAGTAGAACTGCCCCATAGGATTTCCAAGGCCATAAATCTCTACAGAAGCAGATTATCACATCTTTCTCCTGCAGATCTTTCGGTTAGCAGTCAATTGCTTTAACCACTGCACCACCAGGGCCGCTTGTATTTAACCTAGTGCGACACATTTCCTCCTTTTGATGTAACCATCTCAAATATGGAATGTAAACATGAAAAAATTAAAGAGTGAACAAGGTGAAGGAAACTGGACAACTTTTCAGCTACTTTGATATCATGGGTTTACAGTAAAATATTTTGTTGGAAGTAATAGAGTTTTCCAGAAAAACCACAGATAATCCAAAAATAAATATAAAAAAAAAGTCATGTTAAACATAAATTACTTTTGGATTACCTATGACATTACCATTGCTCTTACTCAAAAGACTGTTAGACTCTCAAAAAAAGGACAGTGTTATGAATTGAATTGTGCCCTCCAAGATACGTGTTGTAAATCCTAACCTCTGTCTGGTTATAATCCCATTCTCGAATGGGTTGTGTTTGTTATGTTAATAAGGCAGCATTGATTATATCAACAAGGATTATGTTTATTATGTCAATGAGGCAAGATTAGGGTGTATCTTTAATCAATCTCTTTTGAGATATAAAAGAGATTAAACAAGCAAGCAAGAGAAGCAGAGATGGGGGATAAGAGATGCCAAGCCACAAGAAGTTCGCCCAGGAACAGAAGCTCAAAGAGACAAGGACCTTCTTCCAGAGCCGACAGAGAGAGAAAGCCTTCCCCTATAGCCGGCACTCTGAATTCAGACTTCTAGCCTCCTAAACTTGAGCAAATAAATTTCTGTTTGTTAAAGCCACCCACTTGTGGTATTTCTGTTACAGCAGCACTAGCTAACTAAGACAGATAGTATCTAATATTTTACTATCTTTGATATCATACTTTTGTACAAAGTATGCCTGATAAACACCTTCTGACAGTCATATATTTGTTGTGTTGTTAGGGGCCATCGAGTCGGTTCTGACTCATAGCTATCCTATGTACGACAGAACGAAACACTGCCTGGTCCTACACCATTCTCACAATCCTTGTTATGCTTGAGCCCATTGTGGCAGCCACTGTGTCAATGCACCTTGTTGAGGCTCCTCTTCTTTTTCGCTGACCCTCTATGTTACCAGGCATGATGTCCTTCTGCAGGGACTGATCCCTCCTGATAACATGTCCAAAGTATGTGAGACACAGTCTCACCATCCTTGCTTCTAAGGAGCATTCTGGTTGTACTTCTTCCAAGACAGATTTGTTCGTTCTTTTGGCAGTCCATGGTATATTCTGTATTCTTCGCCAACACCCCAATTCAAAGGCATCAGTTCTTCTTCACTCTTCCTTATTAATCATCCAGCTTTTGCATGCACGTGGGGCAATTGAAAACACCATGGCTTGGGTCAGGGGCACCTTAGTCTTCAAGGTGACATTTTTGCTTTTAGACACTTTAAAGAGGTCTTTTGCAGCAGATTTGCCCAATGCAATGTGTCTTCTGATTTCCTGACTGCTGCTTCCATGGGTGTTGATTGTGGATCCAAGTAAAATGAAATCCTCGACAACTTCAGTATCTCCCCCTTTATCATGATGTTGCTTATTTGTTTAGTCATTAAAAAAATATTTATTGAAATTATAGCTCCCTTTACTGGGTGCCTATTCTATACCAGGCATGGTGCTAGATGCTTTACAAATGCTATTTGTGATCCTGACATTAGTCCTGAAAGACAGCTATAATTTTTCGCAACTGGCATAGCAGGAAAGTAGGGCTCAGAGAAATTAAGTAACTTGCCCAAAGTCATGTAACTACTTAATGGCAGAGCCAGGATTCAAATTCAGGTCTTTCTGATTTCAGACCACATGATTTTTTCACATTGCTTCTGGGAAAATAAACATAATAGCTACATTTATTATCATGTTCCAGGTACTGTGCTAGGTGCCATACATATATTGCTTTTAATTCCTACAGAAGTTACAAATTTAGATTCCTTTAGAAGGCCAGACAGGTAATAAAAGAGTTGAATGAGTTGGATGATGAGCTGGCTGAGCACTGGATGAGGAAACCAGAGGACACATTTTCTGTCTAAAGGGGAAAGTGCTACTAAGCGCCATTTATTATTACAAGCCCAACATGGCATGTTGCTCTTGTTATCAGGTGCCGTCGAGTTGGTTCCGACTCATCGTGACAACAGAACAAAACACTGCCCGGTCCTGTGCCATCCTCACAATCCTTGTTATACCTGAGCCCATGTTGCAGCCACTGTGTCAATCCATCCCATTGAGAGTCTTCCTCTTTTTTGCTGATCCTCTGCTTAACCAAGAATGATGTCCTTCTCCAAGGGCTGATCCCTCCTCATAACATGTCCAAAGTATGTGAGATGAAGTCTCGCCATCCTTGCTTCTGCGGAGCATTCTGGCTGTACTCTTTCCAAGACAGATTTGTTTGTTCTTTTGGCAGTCCATGGTCTTCCTATTTTTTCAAAAATACTAAGAAACATGGATTTGTGTGTGTGTGTATACATGTGTGAAATCTCCTGGTTTTGAAATGTTGATAACAAACTCAAAATTTGTTTAAACAAATCAAAACATAACACAGTGTGAGACAAGTAAAAACATTTATGACACATTCAACTGGCGGCCATCAGTTTACGAATCCAATTTTATAGCCACCTTACAAAGCAGATATTACCGTCTCCGTTTTACAGGTGAAAAAAATAAAATATGTCACATAACAAGTAAATAGTGGGGTCAGGAATGATCCTAGATCTTCCCAATATCACAGAAAACCTATGGTCTTTCCATTATCATGCAACCTGTATCCAAACACTGGTTTACTTCAATTCTTTCTTTTTAAATCTTGGCTTTCCTTAAAACTAGTCTCAAACAGTATCAAAACAAACAACAACAAAAAAATTCCATTTCAAAGGGACTACAAAAGAACCTGCTTAGGAAGCAGATATGGAAGAAAAGTTTTACGTACTTACATTTTAATTTTGTTTTCTTAAACGAGTTATTATTAGCAACATATTTATTTTAGCCCTATAATTCTGAGTTTGGCAGTTAATTCTACTTACCATTCATTTTCTTTCCTGTGTTTTGAAGCTATATCATTTAACAATATGCTTGCAAAGGCTTTTGTTTTATTTATCAGGCCTGTCTTTAAATCATCACAATCCAAACGCACCATAGGGAAATGAACCCACTGCGGCAAAAGCATCATTTCTGAGGCAAGATTTAAAAATTTTCCTATAAGCTTAAAAAAACAAATAAAACACATTTAAAATTAAAAATATACTTAGAATTTTCTAATTCATCAGTCATAGTAATTTATCGTGGTGAAATTCTTAATCTATAATATATATGGGAAAACGTTTCTTTTTGTTAAGTGACTAAAAGATTTCCCTTTGTTACTTAAATCTTTTTTCCACCTTATCCTTTCACTAAGGAACTTTCCAATTTACCAGTAAATATCCAACATGATACCATTATAGCATCAAGTTCTGGAGATTTCAAAAAGTGAAATTTCCCCCATGAGTTACAAAAAACTATCACTGAAGTCAACTCATTTATCTCTGTTTAGGAACAAATCTCCGTCATGTGACAATTTGTATATCTGACAAATATTTGCTTGTGTCATTACTGATGCCTCACAAAGGATTCTAATTCAATCTTCAGGAAAAGAAATGTAAGGGACTTTTTGGTTTTGGTCAAAGTAATCCAGAAGGAGAGAAACGATGTGTTCTTCCATTACCAAAGATTCAAGACATTGGAATTTATATCACCTTCTTAAATACTCAGACACCGGGTAATTTCAAAAAGTA